GGGGGGGGGGGTGGCTGGGGGGGTTGGGGCCATGTGACAGCCCCTGTCCGGGCTGCGGCGTCTCTTGAAGGGGACACCTGGTGCAGTCCGGACCCCCTCCCCCAAGGCTTCCTAAGGTCCGACCTCAGACTGAAGCGTACCTCCCCCTTAGATTTTCAGCTCCACTTTGCGGAATCTCCTTCTCCCTCTCGCTTCTCCCTAGGTTCCTATTCAGGACAGGAAGCGAAATCACCTTTCTTGCCCCCTGCTCTAGGCACCCCGGGGCGGCAATGAGGTTTCCAGAACGGGGCGGGGGGAGTCTTTCTAGTTAGCTATGAAAGCTTCCCCAGCGAGGCCTCAGAAATGGGGTCTCAGCGGCTGAATCCTCGGCGCCGCGGCGCGGACACTGCGGTCGCGCTGCGGTGGGTGCGGAGACTCACCGGGAGCCGAGGGGCTCGGGGCAAGTCCTTTGGCTGCTCCGGCTCTCCCCCGCCCTCCTCCGCGGTTCCCCTGCTCCGAGGTCTTGGGCCAGCCACCCCCTCAGGCTCCCAGGACCCCGCCGCCCCCCAGCGGTCTCAGCCATCCATCACGGCTGTCAGCCACCCCCACCCCCCGCCCTCCAGCGGCGCTGCGTCCCCCTGCGCACTAGCGCGCCTCCCGCGCCTGCTGTCTGCGCTCAGCGCCTTCAAAAGCTCCCTCGGGCATTGCTTGACCCTCTGAGCCGACACTCCCGCAGACCCCTCTGGGGATGGCCGGAAAGCCTTGAGGGCTGAAGGAGCAAAGTCTTCTGGGGACTGACAGCCTTGACTCAGGTTCTCCGGATTCTGGATCCCAGTTAGGACCAACTGGCCGCTTGGGAAGGCTGGGGACTCCAGGGTCCCCGATCCTTTGTCTGAAACACCCCCTCATCCTCATTCCTCTCGGGGGCTGAATGGTATACAGGCCAGAACTACTAGTTGGCTAACTCATCCATCTCCCCAGTGACCCTGGGGTCACCTCATCCCGCAGCCACCCCCTCCCCCGTGGGCTTTGGCTGCGGGGGGAGGGGGTTTGGCAAAGTCGAGTCTGCGGCAGCGCCAGGCATCCTGACTCGGTGCTCAGGGAGCGAAGAGGGGTCTTTCCACCTGGAGTCCCCTGCAGATGCCTTCACTCTGAGATAGGTACTCAGCTGAGATATCCTCTCTGCTCCCCCAGACACCTGGTATGGTCCTATTCCCCAGCACCTGCTTTTTCTGCCAAGGCTTCACTGGCCTTGGGGTTTCCATGGGGTCTCAGGAGGCCTAGGAAAGAGGCATCTCTGTGTGTGAAGCAAGTGTTGAGCTAGGAACTCTTCTGTCCTGTCCCCTCTGCATTAGTTTCTTGACACTGAGTGTAGCCGGTCCATCTGGAGACCTTCTTTCCAAGGGTCCAGGACCTGGAACTAGAGTGGCCTGAACCCAGGTCAGGCGCTCTGGGTTGCAGAGTGAGCAGCCTCCCAGCGGGGCCTGAAGGTGGTGGTTGGAGGCGCTAAGGATCTTCTGGGCTCCAGGGAAGAGGGGCTATCAGACTAAGAGCCTTGGCATCTCTGATTCTAGATTCTTGGGGGTGACTGGAGGACCTGGATGCTGACCTCCAGGAGGTGGAAATGGCCCGACTAAGGGGGCTCCTCTGGACTAAAGAAGAACCCAAGGATATGTCCCTGGCCCCCAGATCTCCTTTCCCCTTGGGGTCTGACGCCCCCTCTCCCTCCCTGAGCTGGCCTAGGGATTCCCCCAGGCCTGGCCCCAGGCCCCGGGGGAGGCTTCTTAGCCTGCGCCGCTCGCCTGTTTCCTCCCCGGGAGCTCTGGCCGCCGCAGCTTAATTGAAAGCCGATTCGGGCTGAGAGCTCCCAGGGGGCGAGGGCGGGGGCAGGGAGGGCTCAGCCTCAGTCTGGCCCTGCCTCTCGCGCGCGCCACTCGGCGCTCCCCCATCACCCTTACTCCTGGCTCAGGGGAATCAGGGCGAATTTCCCCTTAGCTGTTCCGGTCCCTTGGGAACTCAGAAGCTCACCACCTCGCCCCCCACCCCCCACCCCGCCCCCGCCACATCCCCTTCAACCAGTGCGCCTAGCGTTCCGGACGGAATCAGCCCTGTGGCTGACGAGTCCCGAGAGCCTGGCGTCCCGCCCAGGCAGCGGGTGGAAAGGCGGGACCCAAGAGGAGCCTGCCGAGCTGCCCTCTCCCCTGCTCTCATCTCCTGGCCCGGATGCGGCCTGGAGTCTGGCTCCGCGCTGCGCGCCGCGTTACATAAGCGGCTGCGGGCGCGCGGCCGGCTTGGCTCGGCTCTGCGCTCTCGGCCCGCGCGGTCGCCATGGAGACCAGCGCGGGGCCGCCTAGTTGCAGGGTCTCGGGCCAGGATGCCCCCCTTCCAGTCCCCTGCGCACCGCCCGCCCCCGCCGAGGAGGAGGCGCATGGGAGGGGGCGTGAAAGGCAGAGGGGAGGGGCTCTCGTGCCTGACTGTCCTGGTCCTAAGAGGGGACGCCGCTGGAAGAGGGACCCAGCCCCACAGTAGACAAGGTTCCTACGTCTTGCGGCTGGGGAGGGGTGAGGGGTGGGGAGCCGGGCTGGTGGGCACCAAGTACGTTAATGATCATAATTGTAATAGTGGCAGCGATAACTACACTTGTGTGGCAGACACACCCGATATGTATTATTTCATTTAGTCCCCACAGCTGCCCTATGAGTTAAGGCAAAGGAGGAAACCGAGGCTGAGAGAGTGTAAGTGACTTGCTCAACAAGCGACACAGTCGGTAAAGGTGGGCCTTGAATGTGAATCTCCTTGACTCTAGCCCTTTTTCTTAGCCATTAGGAATTTTCTTGCCGTCTCATGCACCCTCAGCCTCTCCAGTTCACATCATGGTGTGGTGAGAACAGGGAGCATCTTACCAGCATTTGAAAAGAGGGGGAGGCCGGGCTTGGTGCCTCAGCCTGTAATCCCAGTATCTTGGGAGGCCGAGGTGAGTGGATTGCCTGAGCCCGTGGGTTCGAGACCAGCCTGGGCAGCTTGGTGCGACCTCATCGCTATAATAAATCAAAAATCAGCTGGGCTTGGTAGTGTGTGCTTGTAGTTCCAGCTACTTGGAAGACTGAGGCAGAAGGATCACCAGAGCCCAGCAGGTGGAGGTTGCGGTGGCCGGGAGCGGCCACTGCACTCCAGTCTGGGTGACAGAGTGAGACTTCAACTCAAAAAAAAAAAAAAAGGAGGGAGAATCCACCTCACGCGCATTTCTCCAGTTCTCTGGCCCCAGAGAGCTCTTTTGAGACTCTTGGGTCAGGAGCGGAGTTCTGGAGAATTTAGCTATTATGTGCAGGGCTCCCACTGGGGCAATGAGTCTGTTATTCCCAGGAATTTACCATTGTTAGAAGAAAGAGCTGGTGATGCCCCCCTATTTGGCAGTTTTTGTTTTGATGGATGAAGTGGAGGTGGTGGCAGAAGACTGGGTGGTGGGCTTTCCTGGAGCAGGTAAGGCATGACTTGTCCCGGCCTCCAAGTTTTAGTCAGGATGAGATTGCGTTTATAACAGGGCCAGGTGGTGCTCTGACTGGGTGACCAGGAGATAGAGAAGAGGAGAGTGGGAGAGTTTGGATCATTGGCGATGGAGAGAGATGTCCGGAGTTGAGGGGGCAGGAGATCCAGGGTACATAAGGCCTCAATTTCACTTGGAATTTGGTCCATGGGGAATTTCCCCAGGGGTCAGAGGGATGTCTGCAACTGGAATTTAGCCCTGGAGTTGAGGAAGCGCGATGCTTGAAGTCAGGAAAATGCACCTATGGGGGCCTCTTTTCATTTTCTGGAGGGACCCTCCCCTAATACCCAGGACACTGTCTCCATGAGTGATCTCAACTAGGCGCATGGCTTCACATGCTTCCCACACATGTCCACATGGCTCCCCCTACCTCTTTCTCCTGCCCAGCCTCTTTCCTGATTCATACATCCAGGTGGTTTCTGGATGTATCCACTTGAGCGCCCTGCAGTGCCTCGCCCTCAGCTAAATTCAGATTTTCTCCACCTCCAAGCTCCTCCTCTGGAGTCTTCCCATGTATTAAATAATACTGTCACCCACCCATTCACTCATGTTAGAAACCCCGAGCATTATCCCCGATTCTTTCTCTCCCCGCCCCTCCCCCAGACCCTGACATCTGGCATGGAAATGTGCTAATAATTCTTGAGTCTGTCTGTTGCCCTGCATTGCTCTGGTCAGGGTCATCATCAGCCCTTGCCTGGGTTACTGAAAGTAACGACTGTATTTTCTGTGTTCTTCACCTACAGGCCAGAACGAGTGCTCTAAAGCACAAGTCTGTCCCTGGCACTCCTTTGCCTGAAACTCTTCAATGACTCCCCATTGTCCTCTGGATGACATTCAAATTCTTTAACATGACCTGCTAAATTGTTCAAGGGCCCAGCCCACACTCTTCTTCCTGGGCTCACCTTTTCACAGGCCATGACCCATTCCTCAGTCCCTCAGTATGTCCCTTCCTCAGACCCCAGCCAGGTCATGCTCTGCCCAGCTCATCTAACCCACTCTGGTCACTCTCACCTCTGGGCCATTGAACACACTGTTCTGCTGTTCTGTCTGCCTGGAACACCCTCCCTGCCCCGCTTCAATCTAGCTCTTACTCATCCTTCAGTTCTCAGCGGACACGTCACTTCCTCTAGGAAGTCTTCCGTGACCTCCCAGGCTGGGCTGGGTGCCTCTCCTGGGTCCCACAGAACTTCCCATGCCAGGATGGGAATTCCTGATTACTGGTTTGTCTCCCCTGACCTTTTGTTGGTTTCCCAAGAGCAGGGATGTGTCGCCTTCTATCCCCCACCTTACACTGTGCCCATATTGGCACAGGATAGACATCCAGTGAATCCACGGTGACGAAAGAGGTGGGGCAGAGGTGGTTCCAAAGGGGCTTACCGCATCCTTGGGGCCACAGGCTGCAGTGTTCCTTGAAGGCAGACCTTCCCCCATGGGAGAGAACATGCTTCCACCAAACATCAGGACAGGTCCAGCTATGGTCAAGAAGGGAGCTCTGGATTGTCTTGGGGGTAACTCGGTGAATGAAGTAGGACCCCCTAGAGCAAGGCAGCACTCACATGTTCATTAAATACCCTGTACATGCCGGGTAGTGCGTTGGGCTCTTTATATACGCTGTCAACCACGGTTCTGCAAGGAAGGTAGTAGTGGCTTTGTTTTCCCAATGTGCAAACTGAGGCTCAGAGAGCTGAAGAAGTGGCCACACAACCGTATGCTCAGGTGGTCGGATGACAACTGGTGGCTGCCAGACCCCTGACTCCTCTGCCTTCTCAGGTGATGGCAACCCCAAGGAGAGCAGTCCCTTCATCAACAGCACCGACACAGAGAAGGGCAAGGAGTACGATGGCAAGAACATGGCCTTGTTTGAGGTGGGCTGCCCCCACCCCACTCCATCATCCTGGTTCACCACTGCTCCCTCCCTAGGGAACAGTACCCTCCTGGGCACTCCTCCCTCAGGCCACCTTCTTCCCATAGTCTCCCCTCTTTCTCCTTCCTCTTAGCTTTGCCCCCTGTGGTCTCGGCTGCCTCTCCTCATCCCACCATCCTCTCTCCCTGTTCTCCTTGCTAGTTGCTCCTCCTTTCCAGCCTAGATCAGCCTCAACGGTCTTGCCCGCCTTGTTCCCATCTCCCCTTCTGACCCCACCCAGCTCACCCCACCCTGTCCCTGCGCTCCCAGCCTCTTAACACCGACACCTCTGCAGGAGGAGATGGACACCAGCCCCATGGTGTCCTCCCTGCTCAGTGGTCTGGCCAACTACACCAACCTGCCCCAGGGAAGCAGGGAGCATGAAGAGGCAGAAAACAATGAGGGTGGAAAAAAGAAGCCGGTGCAGGTGGGAGCCTTGGGGGAGAAGTAGCGGGGGAGGAAAGGTGGAGGGAGGGGAAGAGGATGGGGAAGGGTAAAATGGATTGGGATGAGTGATGGATGATGGGGGCAGAAGGAAGGGGGAGAGGAGGGAAAGGGAATAAGACTGAGAAAGAAGAAGGATGAAGGGATGGGGATGGAGAGAAGAGGAAGGTGGGGGGCTGGAGGAGGAGTGCGCCTGGGCTGTTGTTCAGGATTGGGGGCTGCAGAGACTGACGCCGGCTCCCTGGCAGGCCCCACGCATGGGCACCTTCATGGGCGTGTCCCTGCCGTGCCTGCAGAACATCTTCGGCGTCATCCTCTTCCTTCGGCTCACCTGGGTGGTGGGCATTGCGGGCATCATGGAGTCTTTCTGCATGGTCTTCATCTGCTGCTCCTGTGTGAGTGACGCCCCTCCCCTCCCCACCCCCTGACAGCTGGGGCTTGGCAGAGGCCTGGGGGTGGGAGGTGGGAGGATGGAAGCATGAGACCTGAGCTTTTTATAGGAACCACTGCTTATGATCTTTGAGAGTAAATTAGGTCTGACTGGTCCTTCCTGCATCTCACAGGCTCATCCCTGATGGCTATTAACCAGGTATCACCTGGATCTCTGTGTGTGTGGAATTACATAAGTAATGCAGATTCATTGATGAGAACACTAACTGTAGAAGGGAAAATAAAGCTCAACAATAATCTTATAATAGTTAGCCTTTTGCTAGGTCCAGACTCACAAAAAAATGAGATTATATGTCACAAACAGCTTTGTAACTGGATTCTTCCCATTCTCTCTAAAATGTCAAATATTCACTGAACACCTCTTGACACATTTGTGTGTCCTCATACATAACCTTAAGACAGCTCTGTATGTAAGGTGACCAGTGTCAAGCCATCGTGCCTATTTTATAGATGGAGAAACTGAGGCTTAGAGAAATAAAGTGAGTTGTCTCAGGTCATACAGCTAGTCAAGACCAAGTGGGGATTTCCAGAGCTCTCTGATGCTGTAGCTTGTGCTCTGTCCAGTCTCATGGTGAATAAGAGGTTTTCTGGAGGAGCATTTGGCAGCAGTAGAAGTTGGAACAGGACCAGGGAGAAGCTCAGTGAAAGAGAACCTGTGGGTTTGGCTGGTGTTTATGGGGTATAAGGCTTGGCCTTCACCCAGGCCACTGTGGCCCCCACCTCAGCCACTGCTCTGATGATCTCTCTCCTCACAGACGATGCTCACGGCCATCTCGATGAGTGCAATTGCAACCAACGGTGTTGTGCCTGGTATGTGACTAGGGCTTCTTTGGGGATGGGAGGGACCCCTGAATGGCTGGAAGGAGGGATAGTGCCCCAAGGTTTGGAGGACAGCAGGACCCAAAAGAGGCGAGATTGCAGACCTAGGAGCTGGGCTATGTCTGTTTTTGGGGCAGCCCTTCTGGAGGCAGCGGACGGAGGCACTTGCTGGTGTTGAATAGGGCGGTGGCAGCCCTCCCCCACAACCGAGACCCTCCCCTCCACCATCCTATTTTCTGAGCCATGACCTCTTTACAGGGGTAATTAGCAACATGGTAATTAGTGCTGTGAAATCCACACAGAGTGATTGCCTGGGTCTCCCACCAGTCATCTTTCTAGGGCTGCAGCCCATAAGGCCTGTGAGGCCCAAGGTAGCCCCCTTCCCACCTCTTCCACTAAGACCCCCTCACCCGCTGTGGCAGCCCATTGGCCCTCGACCCTCTCGCTGATACTAGGTTCTCTCTGCAGCTGGTGGCTCCTACTACATGATTTCCAGGTCTCTGGGTCCAGAGTTTGGGGGCGCCGTGGGCCTCTGCTTCTACCTGGGCACTACCTTTGCTGGGGCCATGTACATCCTGGGCACCATCGAAATCCTGCTGGTGAGAGGGTCGAAGGAGGAGGTGTGGGACCTCAGGCTGTCAGCCACTTAACCAGTGCTCTCTGGATGCCTTCTATGGGTCAGGCCATCCAGTAAGGCCAAAGAGCAATCAGATGTGATTCTGTTTTAAAGAGTTCTCAGTCTCGTTGGGGAGACAAGATACGATAATTATGTAACATACACAGCTGTCGTTTATCAGGCCCCCACTGAGCTCTCAGCAGAGTTTCAAGTGCTTTACAGTCATTCTCTTGAAACCGTGTGAGGCTGGAGTATCATGATGCCCCTTTTACAAATGACAAGCTTGTAGATGTGAGGTAACTTGCTCAAGATCACTCAGCCACCAGGTAGGTGGCTGAGGTGGGTTGATAAGAGTTAAAATAGTGGTAGAAATAATAATAGTAATCTTACACAACAGCTATCATTTTGGGTTCTGAGACTGTGGCCAGAGACTGTGCTAAGTACTCTACGGTCCTAACTGTAGAGAGTTGATGGCCACTGGATTGCAAAAGAGAAAAGGCAGGTGAGAGTCCCATGTAAAGTAGTTCATTAGGAACAGTGACTGCTGGGAAAGAACCAGGTTGCTGGACAGTGTTTGAAGGACAGGACTGGTGACTTCAGTCTCTGTCCTTCCTGCCCTTCCTGTAGGGACTGAGTGCTGACAAGGGTTCCCTGGTGGATAGAAAGCGAAACTGGTATTCCCCAAGCCTTCTCAATGGGGTGCTGAGGCCTGTAGTGTTTTGTCTAATTTTATCCTCACAACTCTCCCATCAGTTAAAGGTGGCCATCTTACAGACGAGGAAAGCAAGGCTCAGAGAGTTTAAGGAGCAAGTAGGAGGGCTATGAACCTGGGTCTTTCTGACTTCCAAAGCCATTACTTGTCTGTTGTACCACACTGCCTTGGAAAACTAGAACTAGAAGATTCCAAAGCTACTAGCTTTGGGGCAGGATGACAGAGTGCGGGACAGTGAGTATGGATGGAGAAGAAAAAGCCCAAGGAGGCCAATGATAAGAGGAGAATAACAGACCCCTGTGACTCTGAGAAACTAAAAATTGTAATAATTGTAATAAAAGCAACTCTGCCCATTGCAGAAAATTGGGAAAATATCAAGGAAAAAAATGGAAAGAAGGAAATAACAGGCTGGGCATGGTGGCTCATGCCTGTAATCTCAGCACTTTGGGAGGCCAAGGTGAGAGGATTGCCTGAGCCCAGGAGTTCGAGACCAGCCTGGGCAACATAGTGACATCACCCTGCTATAAAACATAAAAATTAGCTTGGCATGGTAGCACATTTCTGTAATCCCAGTTATTCGGGAGACTGATGCAGGAGGATCAAGGCTACAGTGAGTTATGATCGTGCCACTGTACTCAAGCCTGGGCAATAGAGTGAGACCCTAACTCAAAAAAAAAGAGGAAATATCAGTCAAAACAAATCACCATCAACATTTTTATGTATTTCCTTCTAGTTTTTGTTTTTCTATATGGTATTCTATGTTTGTAAAATATAACTCTATGCTGTAAACATTTCCCTAAATAACTAAAAACTGTAAATATTATTTACAAGTGAAAATAACTTTTGTGAGAATTTAAATATTAAAAAAGAATATAACCTTTAATATTTAACAATATTTTAGAAAATACATATATGCAAAAAATAAAGATTATCCACATTTGCATGATTTGGGGAAAACTACTGTTAACATTTTGATCTATAAACACACATACAGATATATACACACATACATGAATATTTATAAAAATGTGAATTTATAAAATTGAAGTCATAGGACACATTATATTTTTTAAACTTGATTGTGTTCACCTAATATAACAAGGACAACTTTTTGACACAGTCCATATAAATCGATGTCATCTTTTTAATAGCTCTGTAGCCTATGTGGGAATATCATGATTTATTCATCCAACCTCGAGTGATGAGCACCTAACTTGTTTCCACCTTTCTATTAGGAATTAAATAATGATAAGTCCTTTTAAGAATTATACATAATAACAAAATAATAGAATTAAATCATTGCTCCTAATATCCTTGCAATGTGATTTGGTGATAACTGCATCATAGACCTTGTATGACAGGCCATGCCGTCCTTAGCCGGTCCTCTATTACTGGATGTTATTTCCAATCTGCCGCTACTATGACTGTGTTGTGACAGGTGTCTTTTTCCATCTGTACTTCAGGTTATTTCCCTGGGGTGAGTCTCAGTTAGTCCTTACTGGGGCACGCGCTGGGCAGTGTGTGAAGGACAGGGCTGCTGACTTAGGTCTTTGTTCCCCCTGCCCTCTTCCCGTAGGCTTACCTCTTCCCAGCTATGGCCATCTTCAAGGCAGAAGATGCCAGCGGGGAGGCAGCAGCCATGTTGAACAATATGCGTGTGTACGGCACCTGTGTGCTCACCTGCATGGCCACCGTGGTATTTGTGGGCGTCAAGTATGTCAACAAGTTTGCCCTTGTCTTCCTGGGTTGTGTCATCCTCTCCATCCTGGCTATCTATGCTGGGGTCATCAAGTCTGCCTTCGACCCACCCAACTTCCCGTGAGTGCTGCCGTTCTGAGCCCAAGGCACCATCCTCCCACCTCCCTAGCCCTGTTTCAGGGTCTGCACACCAGTCCTTGCCAAACACCCTCTCAGAACCCAAGTGGTGTACGTTGGGAGCACCATCCTTGGGAGGGAATATCTCCCTTGGTTTGGGATCAGTCTCTTTAGAGTGGGATAGCTTTTCTGGAGGTGGGAACAATATCCCTTGTAAGGGCCAACTGCTTCCTGGTGGCATGGACTTAGGGAGAATTAAGTGGGAGTGAGTTCTGAAACGAAACACTCAGTGGTAGGGAAACCTTTCCTAGGTGGGGACAACCTCTTGGGATAGGGCAGTCTCAGTGTTGGACAGCTACTCCAGGACACAGATGAGCGGGTCCAGGGACTCAGATCCCTGCTGGTTCTGCTTCTGTCCACAGGAGAGAGTCCCCTCCACCCATTGCCCAGAGAACAGCCCCCAGACTGCTGTCCCCGGTGCTGAAACATAACACTGCAGGAACATGGTGTTCTCCACCTTGGCTGCGTGTTAGAATCCCTGGGGGAGCGTTTTTAAAAAATGCCAGTGGCCAGGGTCTGTCCAAATTAAATCAGCATCTCTAAATATGGGGTCCTGACACTTGCGTTTTTAGAGCTCCCCTGGTGGTTCTGTTGTGAAGCCAGGACAAGGTTGCACTGCTCCCTACCTTCCTCCCTTGTTTCTTCTCCCAGGATCTGCCTCCTGGGGAACCGCACGCTGTCTCGCCATGGCTTTGATGTCTGCGCCAAGCTGGCTTGGGAAGGAAATGAGACGGTGACCACGCGACTCTGGGGCCTTTTCTGCTCCTCCCGCTTCCTCAATGCCACCTGTGATGAATACTTTACCCGAAACAATGTCACGGAGATCCAGGGCATTCCTGGTGCTGCCAGTGGCCTCATCAAAGGTCTGGGGGAGGGAAGAGGGCTGGTATCCAGGGAACACTGCAGGGATTGTAGGTTAAGCGGTCAGGATTAAGGGGCCCTCCTTGGGATTCAGCTAAATTCAATCAGCTTTAATTGAGCACCTACTCCAGGCCATGTTCTGTCCTTGTCATCATGGACAGGCATTGGGGAGGGGTAGAGAGGAAAAGAAAACATTTATCTCACCACTAGTAGGAAAGAAAGTCATCGATCGATGTAACAAGTATACACTAAACACCTACTAAGTGCCCCCTGTGCTAAACACTAGGAATACAAAATAAGCCACAGTCTTTGGCCTCTGAGTCTAATGGCAGAGATAGATGCCTTAGCAAATAAATCATGATGCACATAGATGTGCATTTAACGAACAGAGGCTTCTCAGGAGAGGGAGGCAAGGCTAGGCTTCCTGGACTCACCTGAGCAGTTTTGAAGGGCAAACGAGAGGTTTTCAGTTCCACCAGAGGAGTAAGGGAATTGCAAACAGAAGAACAGCTTGCCTTAAAGCACACAGGTCCAGAAGAATATATTGTGTCCTTCCAACCACAAGTAATTTGGTATGACTGGGGCATAGAGTGCAGAGGAAGGAGGGGCAAGAAATGATGTAGGAGAGACTGGCATGGCCAGATTGTGGCAGGCCCCAGAGGCCATATTGAAGAGTCGGGACCATATCCTGGAGGGAATGGGGATCCATCAAGGGGTTTTGAGTTAGGGGGAGGCATGGTCAGATCTTCGTTTCTGAGGGTTCACTCTGGCTGCAGACGTGGGTGGGCTTAAAGGAGGGAGTGGATCCAGGCAGGGAGTCCAGGAAGAGGCTGATGCTGTGAGTCCATAAGAGAGAGATGATGGTTTCTGAACATGAGTGTTAGAGTGATGTGAGTGGGCATTTCCTCAGTCAGGGTGTGTTCTCAACCAGGGCTGCCATACCTTCCAGGAGGCATTTGGCCATGTCTGGAGACATTTTTGTTTGCCAAAATGGGAGGGGAATGATGGTTTCTGAACATGAGTGTTAGAGTGATGTGAGTGGGCATTTCCACAGTCAGGGTGTGTTCTCAACCAGGGCTGCCGTAACTTCCAGGAGGCATTTGGCCATGTCTGGAGACATTTTTGGTTGCCAAAATGGGAGGGGTGTTTCTGGTACAAGTAGGTAGAGGCCGCATATTGCTGGACATTCTAAAGTCTGCAGGACAGTGCTCCACAACAAATAATGATCTGGCCTAAAAGGTCACCAGTGCCAAGGAGGAGGACCTCTGGAATGGCGAGGAGGGTATATTTAAGAAGTATTAAGGAGGGTCAATAGACAGAGGCTGGAGATGGCTTTGAAGTGGGGGAGGGGAGAGGGAGCAGCTGAGGGCCAAGATGTTGGAATTGCTGAGGATGCTATTTGATGAGATAAGGGATGCAGGGAGGGTGCTGCTTTGGGGTGGGTGGATGGTGACATCAATTTAGGACCCATGACGTCGGACTGAGATGGGTCTCCATGTGCCCATTTGCCCCACTGTACTGGACCATTTGAGGGCAGGGACGAGAGCTGGTTCATCTGTGAGAGCCCTGCATGTGGTCTGGTTCATGTCAGGAGCTTGGGAAATAGTGGTAGAATAAAACAGAGCCAAGGCTGAGGGAAGTGAGATGCAGTTGATCTTGACCCTGACATTTTGCCCACCCTACCTTCTGGTCCCAGGGCTCTGGTTCTGACTCTGGCCCTTCCCCTGAGCATCCCGTCTCCCCACAGAGAACCTCTGGAGCTCCTACCTGACCAAGGGGGTGATTGTGGAGAAGAGTGGCATGCCCTCGGTGGGCCTGGTGGATGGCACTCCTGTCGACATGGACCACCCCTATGTCTTCAGTGATATGACCTCCTACTTCACGTTGCTGGTTGGCATCTACTTCCCCTCAGTCACAGGTGAAGAGGAGCTCAGAGAGGGAGGACGCTGCCTGGGAGCGGATGGGGAGGAGTCAGTGATGACGCTGAGACTTTCTTAGTCCAACAACCCCGTCACGTAAGCAGGAGCCATAGTTCAGTTCCTGTCGGACACCTGAGGGACTTAGGCTGGGAGAGGCCAAGTCAAACGCCCACGATCCCATACCAGTCAGGATGCCAGGACTGGATTGCAGGCATCCTGACCCCAAGGCTGGTGTCCTTTCTTCCCTGTCTGTCTGGTCTCCTGCGGCCCTGGCTCGTGTCCCAGCTTAGCTTCTGTTCACAGGGATCATGGCTGGCTCTAACCGCTCTGGGGACCTGCGGGATGCCCAGAAGTCAATCCCCACCGGCACCATCCTGGCCATCGCCACCACCTCTGCTGTCTGTATCCTGCATTGCTGGGCTGCGACCACCCCTGCAGGCATGGGGAGGGCTGGAGGGAGGGCAGCTGAAGTTGCTGCCTTACCTGGCTGGTTCCCGAGGGGTGGGGAGGAGGGGTTACGCCTTGGGTATTCTCCTTCATCCTCTGCCGCAGACATCAGCTCCGTTGTTCTGTTTGGGGCCTGTATAGAGGGGGTTGTTCTGCGGGACAAGTAAGTAAAAGAGTTAGGGTTGATCCTGTTCTGGGGGAGGGATGGCCATGGAAGGCTGAGTTCTGGGAAACAGACCCAGCAGGGGGTGCCAGACCCTGTGAGAGGGGCCATCGGGGGAGGCCACGGGGGTTGCTCACAAAGCTGTTTTCTTATATTTCATCTTTCTTCCTTTAGGATAATGGCACATTCCTTTCCTTTACTTTAAAATCAATTAATTCATCAGATCATCTAACATTTACTGACTGTGTGTTGGTCACTGTCTGGGCTTCTGGAAGAAGCAAGGATAAATAATACATGATTTTTGTCCTAAAGGCACTCTTTGTGGGTGGTGACCATACTGGTGAACAGACTTGAAATGCAGCTGGTTGGGGTGGCTGTGTCAGAAGGCCTGGGCCTGTGGGAGCATAGGGGAGGCTGCATCCGGTCCCCGGCTCCTTTCAGGGAAGCCTTCCCAGAGGAGGGGAGGCTAGAAATGTCTTATACACATTATCTCATTTATCCTTCCTACTTTTTAAAAATGTATTTACTTTTTTTTAGATTATAAAATATAGTTTATTTAAAAGTAAATTAGAAAGAAAGAGAGCAAGAGAAGATTCACCTCAAGATGGAGAGGGGGCCTAAGCCAGAAAGCATGACAGCCATAGCTCAAAGAGCACATGACCACACCAGAGTCTAGCAAAGCAACGGTCTACTTATTTATTTATGTATGTTTTGAGGTGGAGTCTTACTCTGTCACCTAGGCTGGAGTGCAGTGGTGCAATCACGGCCACTGCAGCCTTGACCTGCTGGGCTCAGGTGATCCTTCCGCCTCAGACTTCCAAATACCTGGAAATACAGGCATGTGCCATGATGACCGGCTAATTTTTTGATTTATTGTAGAGGTGAGGTCTCACCAAGTTGCCCAGGCTGGTCTCAAACCCATGGGCTCAGGCAATCCTCTTGCTTTGGCCTCCCAAAGTCCTGGGATTATAGGTATGAACCACAGCACCCAGCTTCTTATTTTGTTGAGACAGGGTTTCACTCTGTCTCCCAGGCTGGTGTGCAGTGGTGCAGTCATAGCTCACTGCAGCCTTGAACTCCTGGGCTCAAGTGATGTTCTTACCTCAGCCTCCTGAGTAGCTGGAATGTGTACCACTACACTTGGCTAAATTTTTAAACAATTTTTTGTAGAGACGGGGTCTCACTATGTTGTCCAGCTGTTTCAAATTCCTGGCCTTAAACAATCCTCCCATCTCAGCCTCCCAAAGTGCTGGGGTTACAGGCATGAGCCACTGTCCCCAACCTGTCCTTCCCATTTTCAGTGTTGAGTCATTAGGCAATTAGGAGGGGCAAGACCATTCCAGACAATGAGGTGCAATGATCAAAGAGGGGAATGCTGCATGTGCATGAATGCCTATGGCTATAAGTAACTTGGTGTTCCCAAGAGCACTCATAACCCTCAGGGTGAAGTGGAAGGGCCTATCAGAGGCACTTTCTACAGGTACCCTGGGCTTCTGTAAGGGAGTATAAGGGGGAACACGAGACTGGGACTGTTTCCAGTATCAGGACTGGAGCTTTATTTTAGAAAAAAATAAAAGGGGAAACCCTGAAGGGTTTTAAGCAGCAGAGTGACCTGGCCAAATGAACACTTTGCATCTGTTGCACCTGTCTGTTTCAGGGCAGTCTGACCTCCATTTATCTCATTTCATTTAACCACAGACCTCCCACGTGATTGCAAGGGATCTAGCAGGTCACCTGCTGCAGCCCTTCATCTGGTCCCTGCAGTCCAGGGACAGGCTTTCTACCTCCTGAGGCAGCATCTTCTGTTTAAGGCAGTGTCATTGCTGGAACATGCTTTTCTTTGATTCTCATATCATTGTTACACAATGAGGCCAGCACCCCCATTTTCAGACAAAGGCACTGGGGCTCTAATAGGCTAAGAGATTTGCCTAAGACAACAATATTGACAATTAGCTGTCCACTACAATCATGTTGGTGCCATGTTCTGGGTTTGATGCGATACATTTTACATGTCTGTCTCCTTTTATCCTCTCACCAGTCGTGTGAAATAGACTTATAATGATCCTCGTTTCATAGTGGGGAAACTGAAGCTCAGAGAGGTTAAATGTCATTCTCAAGGTCACACAGATAGGAAGTGCCCAGGGTGTTTGGGGCTGTCTTCTCCATCTCCCCTGCAGAGCCTAGCCCTCTGGCAGGCCACAGTTGGTCCCTGCAGTTGGTGTGAGTAGATGAGCCCTGGAACTCCAGGTGGCACTGCTCACCAGGCAGCTCCTATCCGCTTGCTACTTCATTCCAGGTTTGGTGAAGCTGTGAATGGCAACCTGGTGGTGGGCACACTGGCCTGGCCATCTCCCTGGGTCATCGTCATCGGGTCCTTCTTCTCCACCTGTGGGGCTGGGCTGCAGAGTCTCACGGGGGCCCCACGCCTGCTGCAGGCCATCTCGCGGGATGGCATCGTACCCTTCCTGCAGGTCAGTGTGGGAGGAGGACAGCCTGCCCCCAGTAGACTAGCCAGCCAGGCCTCTGCCCAGTGAGGCCACACAGTGCACCAGGTTCACGGCAGGTCTTGACCTGTCCCCTGGGCCACTTCTGTGCTGCACTAAGAGGAGTAGGTGTGCCTTATTTGGGACTTGACCCGAGTTCAGTGCCATCTCTGAGCGTTGTCTATGTGATCGTAGTCCATTGCAGACTTGAACTCCTGGGATCAATCAAGACTCCAGCCTCAGCTTCCAGGGTAGCTGGGATGACAGGCATGTACCACGGCACCCGGCTCATGTTTTTAAAATGTTTTTAAAAAGAGATGGGGGTCTCACTTTGTTGCCCAGGCTGGTCTCAAACCCCTGGCCTCAAATGATCCTCCTGCCTTGGCCACAAAGTGCTGGGATTACAGGCAAGAGCCACTGCATCTGGCCAAGCATTGTCTGCTCTCAGGGGAAAAACAAATGGCCCTCTTTTGGCCCAGTGGTTGGTCTGGAACTCAGGGAAGCAGCCAAAGGGCAAGAAAAGGGTAGCTGTCTTCATGGTGCTTAAAAAAATTTTTTATGGAACTCATGCTCATGGCTGCTTGCTGGCCTCTGACAGCTCTTGTCCCATCTGCTCCCTCACCAGGGATCATTTGAACTACATTGCACTGGGATGACAGTGGCTGGGTGGACGAGATTTGGCAGAAGCCTGTATCTATACCTCTGGGTTTCCCTGGAGGATGAGAAGTGCATCTCCCTACCTCCTTGTTGGTTATAGGATTCCTGTCTCTATGTCACTGGTTCCCTGGACTTGGGGAGAGGAATGAGAAACTCTCAATGTCTCTGTCCCCCATGATGTGTGCTCTGTCCCCAGGTCTTTGGCCACGGCAAAGCCAACGGAGAGCCCACCTGGGCCCTGCTCCTGACTGCCTGCATCTGTGAGATCGGCATCCTCATCGCATCTCTGGACGAGGTTGCCCCCATCCTCTCCATGTGCGTGCCTGGCCTCTTGCCCTCTCTGATGGCTCAGTGAGCTTCCCTGCCCGAATCCTTAAGCTGTGACCTGTGACAACCCACCCACACACTTTAGCAACCTCAAGAAGCCCCCTACTGGTCACAGAATCCTGCCTTTGCTACATATTCAACCCCACATGTATCAGGGCATGTTGTAAGGAGACTCGGCTCTGAACCCCTTCCTAAACACCAGAGCATGACTTGGCTGCCTCCCCGATTGCTTTCCCCATCCCCCTTTCTTTCCTTATGCCTCGATTTCTTTTTCTGCCTCCCTCTTGCATCTCCGTCTCTCCTGGGGCCTTCCTGTGTTTTAGGTTCTTCCTGATGTGCTACATGTTTGTGAACCTGGCCTGTGCAGTGCAGACACTGCTGAGGACGCCCAACTGGAGACCGCGCTTCCGATATTACCACTGGTGGGTGCCCTGTCCCCACGCCCCCCTGCTCACCTCTGTCCCACTTCCCACCTCTCCCTAGCCCATCCCCTCTGGGTCTAAGGACCCCAAGCCTGAACAGGAAATCCTATTTCCTCTGGCTTTTGCTGCTCAACTAGCCTGAGAAAGGTCCTGGAGAGAGCCTCCTCACAATCATAAATAGTAATATAGTACCATCATAAGTGGTCACAGCTGTAATCCCTTCTGTCTTGGATCCCAGCCTCTCACAAGGTAGCATGGAGGCCAGAAGTCAGCCTGACCCAAGAGCAAATCATGACTGTGCACTTCCTAGCTGTGAGATCTCTGAACCTCCATTTCTGCAGTTCTGAAATGGGCACGATAGCTGCACCTCCTTCATGGGGTTCTGGTGAGCACTGCAGAGCAGAGAAGATGCTCAGTGCATAAAGCATAGAGGCTGCGGTCCTTCTTATCATTTTACTTTATGGCTCTTCATCCCTACAACAGGCCCCGGGGGCAGACAGGGCAGGAATCATGTTTGTTCTAAAAAAGGAAACTGAGACGCAGACAGGGGAAGGGACTGGCTCAAGGTTCCCCAGCAAGACTGTGGAATAACTGAATTAGAACGGAGGCTGCCTGACTCCCATCTTGATGTTCCTCCTTTGCTGGCAGCCTCCTCCTGGGATATCCTGCTTTCAACTCCCTCAGAGACACCAGCCTCAGAAACCATAGGGCCAGGAGCAGGGTCTAAGGCACAGGGACGGGGCAGGGTAGCGGCTCAGGAGTTGGGTGGGGCATAGGGTCGTGTCCTGTCTGTGGCTGCTCCTTCATCCAGAAGGCCCTACATCCCTGTGGTCCTCATGGAGGTGATGGCTGAGTGTCCCTAGCTGTCACCTTCAGTCTTGCCCAGGCCTGGCTTCATCTTCCTCTTCCTGTCTGAGCCCCAGCTCCAGCAACAGCCCGGCAGGGGGGCTCAGAGCCTGGATCTTTCCCCTTTGTCCAGGACCCTCTCCTTCCTGGGCATGAGCCTCTGCCTGGCCCTTATGTTCATCTGCTCCTGGTATTATGCGCTGGTGGCCATGCTCATCGCCGGACTCATCTACAAGTATATTGAGTACCGTGGGTAAGTGTGGGGAGGGAGGTGGGAGGACAGGCTGGGAGATGGGGGCAGGCGTGATGGGTGTTTGGGGTGGGGGAGAGGAGGCAGGGAGGGAGAGAGGATGGAGCTAGAGTGGAGGGAATGGCGATATGGGGTGTGATTGGGAGATGGGGAGCAGGGGCGGAGGCTTTGAGACAGGGACAGGAAAGGCAAGAGAAAGGATTCAGACGGGATTTTTCCAAGGAAACTTAGCCAAAACTTGGCCGAGTCAGTTGGCAGGAGTGACGTGCATGTGCTTTCTGAGCCTGAGAGAGACGGCTCTGCCCTGGGGTAGCCGGTGTGGCCTGGATGGTGGGTGGCTGTCCCTGCCACTCCTTGGCTTTCTGTCCTCACATGATCCCCCTTCCCGGTCCCCAGGGCAGAGAAGGAGTGGGGTGACGGGATCCGAGGCCTGTCTCTCAGTGCTGCTCGCTATGCCCTTTTACGCTTGGAGGAAGGGCCCCCGCACACCAAGAACTGGAGGTAAGGGTGAGGGCACTTGTGTGCGTTCGTGCGTGTGTGCAGGGCTCAGGAGAGGGGGAGGGAGTGGAGCCTGACTCATCCCACTTGCCTTGTTTTGCTGAGTGGTGCCCTAAAAGTCCAGCCATGTCTGACCCCTTCCCTCCTGAGACACCCAGGCTGAACTGAGTTCCAGACATTTGTTCTCCGAACTCCATCCACCGTGCCAGCCCCCTGAGCCTTGATTCATTCATTCGTTCCATAATTTGTTCAGAACATTTATACAAGCCCCCTTCTAGTCTCTGGGGATATAGGAAGCTCGCAGTTCTAGGCACTCACAGAGACAGAGGACTATCAGGACATGTCACATTTGCTACGGGACAGGTGGAATCATTCCCCTTGAGAACTCGAGGGGCTCTTGGCATCTCTAGATTGATGACGATTCCTCCGTTTTAGTCATGTGAAATCAGGGGTCAGAGAGGGTCTCAGGTCGCGGAAGTCAGAACGGAGACCGAAATCGTCACCTCCCGCCTCTCAGCTCAGGGTACTTTCTAACTGTCCTGCTCGCCCAGCCCCTTGTTCATCCTCCTGTTTCACTTTGCCAAGAGTAAAGCCTGGAGCTCTCAGCTATGCCTGGGGCATCGTTCGCTTGTCCATGCCGGTGTCCACTACACTGGGGCTTCCAGAGACCAGGGCTGTGTATCATTCATCTATGAATCCTCAAGTGCTTAACACAGGGTCTAGCCTAGAGGAGGTGCTTAGAAGATGCTATTCGACATTTATTTCCCTATTCATCTAGCCATCCCGTTCATCCAATAGCATTCACAGGTCCCCTGATATGGATATGGGTAGATGACTGAAGGACAGAAAAAATGGGTGGGTGGTTGAACGGACAGATCAGTGAGTGAGGTGAAAGAGAGGTGGATCGAGATGGGCGGATGGGTGGGCATGTGAGGGAGGCTTGGATGAGATGATATTTAAGGAAATGGCTGGATGGATGTTTGGATGGATGAAGGGGTGGGTGATGAGGGTACAGGTGAATGGGAGGACAGAGGACAGACAACTAGGTGACCTGGTAATGGCTGCAAGGTGGGAAAGGTGGTGGATGGTTCACATGACTCTGTACCCTCTCCAGGCCCCAGCTGCTGGTGTTAGTGCGTGTGGACCAAGACCAGAATGTGGTGCACCCCCAGCTGCTCTCACTGACCTCCCAGCTCAAGGCCGGGAAAGGCCTGACCATTGTGGGCTCTGTCCTTGAGGGCACCTTTCTGGACAACCATCCCCAGGCCCAGAGGGCAGAAGAGGTGAGCGGAGGCCCTGTGGGGTGGGACAGGCCAGGGCACTCGGAAAAGACAGTCTCTACCCTTTGAATCTTCCTTACCACCTTTGAGATCAAAGGAGGCACAGGCTCTTCTGTCTTCTTCCTTAAAAGAGGAGCCCAAGGACCCAGGGAGTGAGTTCTTTAGAATTCAACTCACAGAACAAAAGACCATCAGAGTCAGAGAACCCACTGAATGGATAAGAAAATAGGCGTGGAGAAGCCAAGTCACTTGTCTAAGGGCAGAAAACTGGGCAGATTCAAATGAGGACTCATTGACTCGTGTTCCGGATTTCTTCCTGCCCAAGTGTAAAGCTTTCAAAGGGTTTTCATCTGTGGACTCTTGATCGCGATCTTGTGTGGAGTCAGCAGGGTGGATATTTTGGCCCAGGAAGAAACTGAGGCCCAGAGAGGGAAAGCAGCTTGCTGACAGTCACAGTGCTGACTGGAGGCATTGTCAGGATTTGAACCCAGCTCCCTGCTCTGTGTCCTGTGTTCTTGTCTCTGTCCGCTAGTGCATGCCTACAGAACAGCAGATGGATCCAGTGGAGCTGGGCCACCTGTGTCTGCATTAGGTGCATTGCGAGGTGTTTGGAACCTGGTGCTGGCAGAGAAAGCAGGTTCTGCCTGTAGTCCAGGCCTTCCTCCCCTCAGTGGCTAGGAGTGGAGAGAGAAATAGGGGCCCTAGGGAGGTGAGGTGAGACAGGGGAGGGCCACCCCTGATGGCTTGTGACAGTTGCCGTTTCTGCCTCACTGGGCCGTTCACACCGATCTGTCAGGGCCTGGAGCTGGAGGCCTCCACTGGTCAGTTCCATTCAACAGCAGTGGCTGAGAATGTGCCATGTACCAGGAGTTGGGGGATGGAGATGCTTAAGACCAGGTCCCAACCCTCAAGGTGCTCCCAGGCTGGTGGGGAAGCTGGAACAGGTACAGAGGGCTCTCAAACACACTGGCTATTATAAGTGCTGTGTTAGTTAATAACATCAAAGTTGTACAACGTGTTGAGTGTGGACAACGGTCAGGCAGGATAGGATACTAAGCTCTTAGGCATATTGTGTCATGGGATTCTCCCTAGTCCTAAATGAGGTGTTTTTCCTGACGCCTCTCTGAGAGATAGGAAAACTGAGACTCATATGAGGTGACTTATCCAAGAGGTGACTCTCTCCAGGAGGTGGCAGAGACAGAAATTGAACTTTTTTTGTTTGATGTCAGGGTAATGGTTAAGAATATGGGAGCTTTAGCCAGGCATGGCGGCACGCACCTGGAGTCCCAGCTATTCGGGAAGCTGAGGTGGGAGGATCACTGGAGCCCTGGAGTTTGAGGCTGCAGTGAGCTATGATTGTGCCACTGTACTCTAGTCTGGGCGACAGAGTGAGACCCTGTCTCTAAAACAAACAAACAAACAAACAAACAAACAAAGAAATAACAAAAAATATAGAGACTGGAATCAGACTCCCTAGACTTGAATCCCTGCAATAATATTAGCAGTGTGTCCTTGGGCAAATCTTAACTTCTCAGAGCCTCAATTTCCCCATCTATAAAGTGGGAGCAGTAAGAACACTTCCCACCCAGTACAGAGTCAGTATGCATTTATAATGTGTGTCGTTATGCTGCTTGAAAAAATGGTTGAAACACATTGTCTGGTCATGCAAAGAGGTCCGGTTTAATTCTGGTCTGGGTGGGGGTGGTATCTGAATAAGGTGACATTTTAGTCGGGCCAGGCAGGGTGTCATATGTAATGGGGCGGGAGTGTGTGGCAGGGTGGCTGTGGGAGCATGCCAGGCAGGGGGACGGTGTGAGTAGCGGCAGGGTGGCAGGAAGTGTAGGGTCAGATCAGGAAGAGCCTTGAGGAGTCAACAAGGAATGGGGCACATGTACGATCCTGGTGCCAGAGACTGGTGGGATCTGGGCTGAGCTTCAGGAAGATCTGGGTGGCAGGAGGGGGGAGACTGGAGTCCGAGAGGCTGCAAGGGGCCTAGCCAGGGCGGGGGAGGCCTGAGGCCTTGTCTGACCTCCACCTACAATGCCCCGCCCCCTAGTCCATTCGGCGCCTGATGGAGGCGGAGAAGGTGAAAGGATTCTGCCAGGTGGTGATCTCCTCCAACCTGCGAGACGGCGTGTCCCACCTGATCCAGTCCGGGGGCCTCGGGGGACTACAGCACAACACCGTGCTGGTCGGTTGGCCCCGTAACTGGCGGCAGAAGGAAGACCATCAGACATGGAGGAATTTCATCGGTAGCACCGTAGTGGTCTGCGGCGGTGGAGGCTGGGGCAGGGTTGTGCTTTTGTGCTTGTTTGTGCCGAAGGGTTTCCCGAGCACAGCACGCTAAGTGTGGATTCAGCATTTGCAGGGGACAGCAGTCAGAACTGGCCACATGCCAGTCACTGTGCTGGGCACCGGGGACTCCGCTGTGAATGAGATAGTCTTGGCTCCTGCAGGGCTCACAGGCAGAGAGGAAAACAGTTCAGGGATGTGGGAAGATACAGCTTTGAAGTCACAGAGGCTGGAGACTACCAACTCAGCTGTGGTCTTTCCTAGCTGTGTGATTGTACACAGTTGACTCACCCTCTCTGGGCGTCAGATTCCTGGGTAGTACTTGATAATAATATAATAACTAATGTTTTTAGAATGAGTTCTGTGTGCCAGCATGTCGAAGCTTTCTGTCATTCTCTCATCAGTCCTGTGAGGACTAGACATTGTTATCTCCATTTTCATGGTGTGAAACCAAGGCACAGAGAGATTAAGATATTTGCTTCAGGTCACAAACCTGGGAAGCCAGGTTCTGAACCAGCCCAAAGGCTGCACTATTAACTCCAAGTGATTCTGTCTCCCTCATAGGTAGATTGGCCAGGCATGGTGGCTCATGCCTGTAATTCTAGCACTTTGGAAGGCTGTGGTGGGAGGATCACTTGGGGCCACGGGTTTGAGACTAGCCTGGACAACACAGCGAGACTTTGTCTCTAAAAAAATAATAATTATAAAATTAAGTGAAAAATATAGGTAGATCATGGTTACAAGTGTTGGGAGGATTCAGTGAGATCATGCATGGTGGGTTCTTAACCTTCAGAAAGGGCAGGTGGTGTTATTGCCATCTGAATGTTGGGGAGACTGAGGCTTAGAGAGGTTGAATGATTTTCCCAGATAGAAACCACACATATATGATGAGGCCCAGGGAGCTGCTGGTTTTCTGATGACTCGGCCCAAGTCCAATTCCAAGGCCAAGTGGGGTTTGGGGAGGGGGTGCTGGGTGTCAGGAGTCCTTGGGTCTGCTGCTGGGTGCTGGGGGAATCAGAATCACGGTTTCTCCTTCTGGCCCCCTCTCGGCCTCCCCCAGAACTGGTCCGGGAAACCACAGCTGGCCACCTGGCCCTGTTGGTGACCAAGAACGTCTCTATGTTTCCCGGGAACCCTGAGCGCTTCTCTGAGGGCAGCATCGACGTCTGGTGGATTGTGCACGACGGGGGCATGCTCATGCTGCTGCCCTTCCTGCTGCGCCACCACAAGGTGGGCCCCTGTGTGAGCACGTGGATGCGTGGACGTGTGTGTGTCTGTCTGTGTGCAGGTGTGTGCCACTGTGAGTGAGGCTCATGGGCTCTGGCCAGGGCCAGCTTTCATGCCCATCCTCCCCTGTGAGCTTCTGGGACAGGGATCTGACAAGCCCCCTCCTTCTAACATGCTGGAAACTGACTGGATCTCTCCTTAAGCGATGCTTAACCCAAGCAAGTAATTCTTTCATGGGGGATCCACGGACCCAAGCAGGGGAGTTTTTGTAGTCCTGCATGTATGTGTGAGGAGTGGGGAGGAAGGTGAGGAGACAGGATCCTCTGGCCCTTGGTCTTTTCACTGCATCTGGGCTGGACCTTTCTGGATCCCCTTCCTTCCTTGCAGGTCTGGCGGAAGTGCAAGATGCGTATCTTCACTGTGGCCCAGATGGACGACAATAGCATCCAGATGAAAAAGGACCTGACCACATTTCTGTACCATTTACGTATCAACGCGGAGGTCGAGGTGGTGGAGATGGTGAGCCCCCAGAAGACACCACGAGTCCCACCTGGACCCCTTTCCTCTTGGCTGGCATCAAACCCCAACTCTCATCAGCTTGTGGGGCTGAATCCACCCCCCCTTGTCCACCTCTTGCCCCTTACATATTCATCCAAGAGTTCATCCATGCACTGCTCTCCTTTATAAGCATAACCGTGTCTATGGGCTCATTGTAGACCAGGCACTGTTCTGTGCACTTTATATATACTTCCCACAACAACCAATGAGATAGATGCAATGATCACTTTGCGATGAGGAACTTGAGGTACAGAAAGGTTAAGTACGACACATTCTGAGAAGGGCGTTATTAGATTAGGCAATATAATCATTGTGTGAACATCAGAGTGTCATCACACAAACTTACTGCTTCCAGGCTACAAACCCGCCCAGCTTTTTACTGTACCAAGCACTGTAGGCAGTGGTAACACAATGGTATTTGTGTATCTAAACATAGAAAAGGTACAGTAAAAATATGGTATTCTAACCTTATGGGACCACCATTGTCCATGCCACCACCGTTGGCTGAAACCTTATGTGGCACATGAGTGGAATTTACCAGCACACCTTATGTGGCGGGCAGGCTCTGGAGCCCATGTACCCAGTGATTGTGCTCTAGGCCTCTTGTCCATCCATCCCTCAAACTGTTGTTCCATCTACCCCTCCCCCCGTGTATTCATTGATACCTACCCATAGTTCGTTGATGTGTTCACTCATTCGCTCGCCCTCCATTCATTCATTCCTTAATTTTTCTCTTTACTTCTTCCCCTTCTCTATTCACCCGCTGATTAACTAATCCACTCATTCATTAGTTCATCCATTCGCATGCCTGGTCCTGTGCTGGGCTGAGGAAAGGGAAAGAGCCGCCTGCTTTCCAGGAGCATGGTCCTCTCCGCTCTGTCCTTGCTGCCCATGATCCTTGCTAGAGTAGATTCATCAGATAGGGAAACCCTAGGCTGGCAGAAGGAGAGGGCATGCCTCCCTCCCCTTGGCCTTTCTCATGAGTGGAGAGCTCATGCCTTCCTCCTTGCCCCTTCACCACCCTGCCCCTGTCTCCCTTAGCACGAGAGCGACATCTCCGCTTACACCTATGAGAAGACGTTGGTGATGGAGCAGCGCTCCCAGATCCTCAAACAGATGCATTTAACCAAGAACGAGCGGGAGCGGGAGGTGAGGTCGCCGTGGCTGGGCTCTGAGAGCCTCAAGCTGCTGCCGGTCCTGAGTCCACATAGTCCTGAGTCTGCACTCCTGGCACTGCCACTGTCCCCTTCATCGCCCTGACACCTCCCAGCCACACCTCCTGACACCGGTCTCCCCAGCAGGGGGAGAACACACTGAAGGCTTCCCTCCCAGCCTCCAAGCCAGGAGGCAGAGGGACCCTGCATGGGCTTCCCCTCTGTTAGTGACTCCTGGGGCCTGAGGGAGAATAGCTGATGCTAAGTATTGTGGATGATGAGTCCTCAGGGGCCTGCGCTGCCAATGCGAGGGATGAGGGCTCGTGTAATAGACCCTCAGAGGATGGGTAGCAGGTGGGCATTTAGTGATATAACTGAGGGTGGCAGCTAGGGGCAGTCTCCTAGGATGCGATCGATGGTTCTCAGGGGCAATGGTGATGAGTCTCCTGCAGGGTGTGGGCATGAGTTTTCCCAGGTGTGGGTAATATGGGGCCACTGGTCCCCTGCAGTATAGAGGAAAGCTCCAGCCCGGGGAGTGGAGTCCTTGGGGGAAAGGAATGGTGTGCCCAGGCTGGGGACAGAAGAGCTCCTGGAAGTGAGTGCTCTGCTGCCCGAGTAATGAGTGGAGAACCCTGTAGGTGAGGGTGCCAGGACCCTGGGTTCTGAGTCTCCCAGGTGTGGGTAAAATGTTTCTCAGAATGTGGTTGATGGATCCTCAGGGGAATGAGTGGTGGGTGCCCCTTTGTGTTGGGAGGGACTGATCCTCCTAGGAAGGGGTCTTATCCAAGGGCGACAGTAAATGGTAAGACATGGACCAAGAAGACGGACATTGGACCATGGCGCTGGGCTACAGTCCTGCTGTGCTAGGTGTCAGCCCTTTGGTTGCCGGATGGTGGGGAGGCCTGGGATTCTGGAGAGGATCTGGAGCGGCCAGGTTCGTGGTGTAGCAGCTAATTGGTCTCAAAGTATTGCAGTATTTTAAGCATGAGTACAGTTCCAGAAAGTGTGTATCCAGGCTGAACGTCTTGTGGTAGCTTTTTGCATGGGTGGTGACTCCCAGCAGAGCTGGCACCAACCTGTGTCACTCCCTAGATCCAGAGTATCACAGATGAATCACGAGGCTCCATCCGGAGAAAGAATCCAGCCAACACTCGGCTCCGCCTCAATGTCCCGGAAGAGACGGCTGGTGACAGCGAGGAGAAGCCAGAGGAGGAGGTGTGCAGCTGGGTGGTTTGGCCCAGCCAGTGGGAGCGGAGCCCTCAGCCTCCAAAGGAGTCACCTGCTGTCCCTTCATCCATCCCTCAGGTGCAGCTGATCCATGATCAGAGCGCTCCCAGCTGCCCCAGCAGCTCGCCGTCCCCAGGGGAGGAACCTGAGGGGGAGGGGGAGACAGATCCTGAGAAGGTGCATCTCACCTGGACCAAGGACAAGTCGGTGGCAGAGAAGAATAAAGGCCCCAGTCCCGTCTCCTCTGAGGGCATCAAGGACTTCTTCAGCATGAAGCCGTATGGGCCTGGGGGCTAATGGCAGGGGACTGGGGTGATTCTAGAGGGTCTTGTTCCCATGGCAGAGTACGTGAGCTGAAGGCATCCTGGGGCTGGCTGACTTGGTTTCCCCATCTTAAGGGGTTGGACCTGGTCACTAAGGGTCAGAATCTCCAGGTGCAAGCAAGGGGGTGGGGACTGGGAGTGGCACCAGCGCTCACTAAGGGCAGATGACCTG